AATTATTATATATCTATAATATTCTTTTTTAATTATTTAAATGTTAGGAAGTGGCTTTAAAACGCTAATTTTCACCGTTGTGTATGTGATCGTAGTTGCTCTATCCATAATTTGTCTTTCAGTTTTTACGTTTGGTAGGAGTAACATTATTTATGAGTTTGTGGTGGAGTTAAACAATATTTTAGTCTAAGATATCGTAAATATCTTTAATAGAAAATAATTTCAAATATCGCTTTAAATTAGTAAACGCATATATATACTAATGATGCAAACAGCCTTCATCACGATGATGGTTAAATTATTGGTCATTATTGCAAATTTATTTGGTCATTAAATTGCAAATTTATCTCATAAAAATATACTTTATTAAGTACCGGGTTCATCCGCGCCTTTGGAAACAAATCAATTCAACACATTGTGATGTTTTACACACACTTTGATTATTAACTCCCCAAGGGGGGAGGAGGGCGTCGTGGTCCCCACGGAGGAACAGGCGGCACCCGCGCCTACCTCGAACGCGGGGAATACATAAAGTCCTCTGCCATGTCGGACACCAGCGAGGCCCCATCCCTGGGTGCGTCTTGGGGAGTAGTGACAATAATTTGGGGCCTGGGGCTAGTGGGACCTGGGGCTAGTGGGACCTGGGGCTAGTGGGACCTGGGGCTAGTGGGACCTGGGGCTAGTGGGACATGGGGCTAGTGGGACCTGGGGCTAGTGATACCCATGACCAATGTAGACTTGTCACTTGTGGGATTTCTGAGTAACATGATTGGGACGAATATAACTTGTCACTGATATTAGTGGCAAATGTTATATAGAATCCGTAATTTATCCCTCAATGTGAACAATTTCTTCCTTCGCAAGTCGAATGTACTCCATTAATGTGACATCCATTATTGTAAGTGCCATTATATCGTCGTATATACTTGAAAATTTATCCACCACCGTGAATAATGGTGTAAACACTTAAATTATTATTATTATTAAAATAATTTTACCCGGAACCTGTTTCGTCGCCGCAGCGTCTCACGTTCGCCGGGTGCGCGTACCATCGCAGGCCTCCGACGTCGATCAATATCTGGACGATCTCTTCATCCCCGTGCTGGATCATCAGATCGCCGACGATCTATCAGACGCTAGATCATTGGCTGCTTCCATGAAGGGCGGATCTTTCAAATCATCATCCTGTGATCGTTACGATCCGACGGCATTTGAAATCGTGAATTGCGATCAGAACGATCTTTTGACCTACGAAATATCTGCCTTCAGAGATCGTGGGTTTGAAACTCGTCTCAGGTCCGTGATCTAATTGAATGATTTTATTATTGTAAATAATGATTTAAGTTAGTTTAATTATGTTAGTATTTTGAAAAAGTTATTTCTCGATAACTTTTAGGAAATCTAGTATTTTTAGGATAAATGTTAAATGATAAATTTTATGATAAAGCCATAATTAATGTATTAAATAAAATAGTATGATATTTATGAGCGTTTTATTATATATATTTTTGAATTTTCCCAGAAGCGAGTCGGCAGAGTCGCTGCTAGCGTCAGCGTTGGAGTCCCTGAGCTTGGGCCCGATTTGTGGTCTCACCGACGCGCGGGCCTTGGCCCACAGCATCAAAGGTACGTCATGCGGGCCTCACGAGGCCAGGGAACTGTCCTGCGTGTGTTGCAGGAACTGTCCCTGCGTGTGTTGCAGGAACTGTCTCTGCGTGTGTTGCAGGAACTGTCCTGCGTGTGTTGCAGGAACTGTCCCTGCGTGTGTTGCAGGAACTGTCCCTGCGTGTGTTGCAGGAACTGTCACTGCGTGTGTTGCAGGAACTGTCCTGCGTGTGTTGCAGGAACTGTCCCTGCGTGTGTTGCAGGAACTGTCCCTGCGTGTGTTGCAGGAACTGTCACTGC